TTCCTTAAATGCCTTATGTCTAATATAGTCAAGATTGGGGTTAGGGAACCAGACATGAATTTTGAGGGGACATGATTCAGTCAGTACACAGTCTCCCAAATGTATTTTCATATGTTAGGATGTGTATTATTACACATTATTATATGTTTAATGTCCTGTTCTTTCTGAAAGGTCTAATTTGATTAGATGGTTATAAGTTCTGTCAGGTAAATGGAATTAAACTTGAAAGTGGCAGCATTTTTTTTTTTTTTTAAAGACAGGGCCTCAAGCCGTTGCCCTGGGTAGAGTGCTATGGCATCACAGCTTACAGCAACTTACAACTCCTGGGCTCAAGCCATTCTCCTGCCTCTGCCTCTGCTTCTCAAGTAGCTAGGACTACAGACGCCCCCCACAACGCCTGGCTATTTTTTGGTTACAGCTGTCATTGTTTGGCAGGCCCAGGCTGGCTTCAAACCCACCAGCTCAGGTGTATGAGGCTGGTGCCTTTAGTCGCTTGAGCCACAGGCACTGAGCCAAAAGTGGCAATATTTAGTCAAACTTCTATTCCTATAAGTGGAAGTTGGTGTTCCCACCCAGAGGCCAGATTTTAGCAAGGTCCTTTTGCTGGAGGAGATTGGTTCTCGCTGGTCTGTTTAACCCTAGCTCTTTATCTCTACTAAATGAACTTGGAGTTTTTACCTTAGTGCTCCCTCCTGTTGCTGGACGTTTAGGTCGTTTTCAGATGTTTTTCTGTTTCAGAGTACATCTGTTAAGAGTGCTTTGGTGGATAAATACCCTTAGACATATGAGCTCTTCACTTGTGGGAGTGGAGTTGCAGTTCCTAGCAGTGGGATAACACACTGATGCTTCACAGACCTTCTGCTTTGTTGACAGTAGGCTATACTACTGATTCACTCCGCATTTGGCTACAGTTTATTGCCAACATTTTTACCAAACTTGCCTTTCATTAAAAATTTTAATCACTATCAGTTGTATGCATGAAATATGGTACTAACTTTATATTTGATTATGAATACGGTTGTATATTATCAGCCTTTTTTTAAAACAGATTTTATCTTGTAGAGCAGTTTTAGGTTCTAGCAACATTGAGCAGAAAGGGTAGAGTTCCCTTATTCCCCTTTCCTTCATCCCACAGCCTTGCCCGCTATTGACATCTCCCACCATAGAGTGGTATATTTGTTAGAACTGACAAACTTTTAGGCTCTGCACCCATAGCTCAGTGGTTAAGGCACTGGCCACATATACAAGGGTTGGCAGGTTCAAACCTGACCCAGGCCTGCTAATCAACAATAACAACTACAAAAAAAAAAAAATAGCTGGGTATTGTTGTGGGCACCTGTAGTCCCAGCTACTTGGGAGACTGATGCAAAAGAATCGCTTAAGCCTAAGAGTTAGAGGTTACTATGAGCTGTGATGCTACAGCACTCTACCAAGGGTGACATAATGAGACTCTGCCTCTCCACCCCCCCCCCAAAAAAAAAGAACTGATGAACTTTTATTGCCACATTATCAACTAGAGTCCATAGTTTATAATCATGGTTTTTACTTTTGGAGTTGTGCATTCTATGAGTTTAGACAAATCTGTACTGACATGTAGCCACAATGATAGTGTCATACAGAAGGGTTTCCCTGCCTGGAACATCTGGTCCCCACCTGTTCTTCCTTCTTCCCCTCCCCCTGCAGCCACTCATCTTTTTATTGTCTCCTGTAGTTTTCCCTTTTCCAGAATGTCTTATCTTACGACCATGTGGAATGTAGCCTTTTCAGATTGGTTTCTTGATTTATTAATATGCATTTAAGATTCCTTTATGTCTTTTCATGGCTAGACTATGCGCTTGTGGCATGGTTTGCAGGGGCCTGGACCTAACGTTCTTTCTGTTTGACTTGATGCACACTTGTTCTGGTGAGGGTGAAGTTTGATCCTCTGGTTAGGGTGGTGCCTACCAGAATTCTCCATTGTAAAGTTACTACTTTTTCCCTCTGTAATTAGTATTTTGTGGGAAGATACTTTGACATTTACATAAAATATCCTGTTTCTCATCATATTTTTTTTTTTTTTTTTT